TGCTAATAATGCACTTCAGCGCGCCATCTCGGATTCAACTATATAACTATAACTATGATTGAATCTCAATGCCAACTTTATCCTATAGAAAAGCGTTGTCTTTAGGGTTTTCCGGCAATTATGTCAATTTTTCGCTCTGTATAAACCATCCTTGGACTTTAACGAACATTTAAAAAAAAGAATTGGCCAAATTGGTCTAAGCGTTGTTGAGTTATGCCCATACCAACACATTTTACGATTCATTTTTATATTATAGATTAACTAAATCATTAAAAATCAAGTTAAATTTAATTAATTATTTTATCAACCATTGACATATGCCAAAAAATGCTTAATGAATTTGCTTTGCTCGATGTTCAAATGATTTAATCTTAGTCTCCTGGTGTGTGTGTGCTTTTTTAATTTACTTCCCCTCGCTATGTTTGAGATCCAAGACGTGATAAAGTGCGAGCGAGCTCTTGGGCTTCGTATGGTAATCAATCAAATTCGACTGGGGCGGGCGGCGGTTGAGACCCGCGTGTACTTTACATCCCTTCGTCCTTGCTTGCGGTGGACGACGCAACGTGAACAACGTGCGCATCGGGCACAACAAGTCACGTTGCGATTTAATAGACTTTTCGATCGCGAGTCAATTGAATTTTACTATGAACCTTATCAAATCCGACATCAATACTATGTTGATTAATTAATAAATATAACGAATGAATACGAGTTTGAATATGAAATATTGCTTATGTTGACCAGAATGTGTGGTTTATATTTTGTCAAGGACAATCACACGCATTGGGATTAAATTGGTTTGTAATTTTATTAGTTTTGGTAAAGTGTAGATAATGATCTATTCTGTCATGTATTGTTTTTTTGTTGGAGTTTATTTTGAGTTGAAGATATTTTGAAAAATGATTGATGAATGTTATAGTGAGTTATTTATGGGCAAAAATAATAAATGAAGCAAAAAACAAGTAAATTAACTTAAATTTAAGTACAGTAATAAGTAATTAAACACATTAATTGATAAATCCAGGATTTAATTACTTCAGTAAAAACTTAATGTGTAATTGGTTGCATAGTGTAATTTTTAATTTTGCTTATATTCCAAAATGTTTGTCAGTCTTATATAAAAATAGATTATGTCCTTCGGAAGAATATAGAGAAGAATATAGTATTTTTGTTTTTAAAATAAAAATACAAAAAGGTCAAATAAGATATAAAATGTTTAGTTTCAAATGAATTACGTTTACTCTTATTTTCAAATAACTCGAGCATAAATGGCGCAAAATGTAAACATTTGCATTAAACTTTCGTAAAACACAAATGCAAATATAATTTATTTGTGCATGATAGTGTATAGTCTTTCTATTTACTTTTAAATACACTTTTCGTGGCATTTTAAAAACAAACTAATTTATCTGCAACATACGAGTATTTATCCAGCACGTGATATATTAATTTTTCATAGACTAAATCATATAATTTATGTAACAGTAAGATTCAACATTTTGCGTTAATTACAGTTTGATTGGTTTAAAATTACATGAACATTAAATTCTTACCGGAAACGAACGTTAGCTTGTTTTGCTGCGGCTAGAAAAGTCAGTAAAGCAAAGTTGAGCCTAGCAAAGCGATTAAATATAAAACACTTTGAAAAAAACTACTACGTGTGGAAGTAGGTTGCCAACATGCTACGATATTAAATACCAAATTAGCTCTAATAACAACACACTTCGCAATAATTTTGACTTTTGATACCCACTCGGAGTGAATTTCGTTTGTTCCGTGTTTCATTCTAGTTCCTGTAATTTTATTATATAGTTTAGGCACAAAAATAAGATTATTGCGCAAAATATATCAAATATAATAATTTGTAACGCAATACGATATATAAAAATATAAAGGAATCTATAATAGAAAAATGAATCGCAAAATCTGTTGGTAAGCTCATAACTCAACAACGCCTAGACCAATTTGGCCAATTCTTTTTTTTAATGTTTTTTAAAGTCCACGGATGGTTTTTACGGCAAGAAAAATTCGCATATTTGCCAGGAAAACCCTAAAGACAGCCTTTTTCTATAGGATAAAAGTTGGCACTGAGATTCTATCATAGTTATAGTTAAATAGTTGAATCCGAGATGGCGCGCTGAAGTGCATTATTAGCAATTTTTTTTATAATTAATTTCTTTAAAATAAAGCTGCGAATCTTATTGATAGAATTGACACATACTATGTCTAAAACAAGAGAGTAAAGACAAATTACATTTATATTAAGCACTACCGGAAGTCGCGATCAAAAGCTATTAAATGACAATTCAATGTTCTAAATGAGTTTATATGTGAAAATAATTATAATTTTTCAATTTTTCAATTGATAAAGTAAACTTGTGATTATATAAAAACAACAAAATATCTTCTTATGCAACTGTGACTATATAATAACAAACTCTACAAACTATAACTTACAAACTAGGTCTACGCGATGGCAGTGATTTTTTGCGCCGTTCTCGCCATTCAAACCATCGAACATTTCAACGTCTCGGCCAGTCACAACTCACGACGTCTTCAACATTGTGCCGCGTTCCATCGTGGCGCGTTAAGCAGGCGACTTTTGAAATCACCGTAATTACATTAATTGCGCTCGTTGATGCCTGCCCTCGATGGTGAAAAAAGAACACGTATAACGCTCAAATGTCGTGAGAATTGGCCACAGATTAAACGAAAAATATACACACACACACACACACACACACACTGCGTACACATACTGTATACACGATTTATTTCACCGTTTCGTGGATTAGTATTATTTCATTTATCCGCGCGCTGGCTTGCGTAAAACACGAAAAAATATTGTGCATGCCTCCGTCAGCGTTTGTGATTAATGCAGTTGACGTCGTAATGCACTAATGCGAATGCAAATTTAATAAAAAGTGCATTAAAATAGGTGCACAAGAAAAATGACATGCGGTTTGAGGGAAATGGGTAATTACTTTATTTAATACTGCATTTGAGAAAGAAATCCATCAAGAAAGGAGATTAATGTGGAAATGCAACAAATGAATAATGACGACTTTTAGCTTAAAAAATTTACTTAAATTAGAAATTAAATTTCCTTCCTAATCTTAGATAAATGCCATCTTTAATTAATTATTGACTGAATTTTGTGCAGTGTTTTGCATAAATCGTTGTTTTAACGCCAAAAAATCACATAATTTCAATAATTTTTATGCCTAAATTTAACATTAAAATTATGCGGACTTAAAAACCTTAATTAAACTTGAAATTTGGATTATATTAAAATAAACAACAAATAAATTGATAGTTTCTGTTTAATTATCATTTAATTGATCATTTTCCATATCCATTTTTGATTTTAAGCTTAAATTCTAAAATATTTTTACTAACATAAAAAGATTACTTTATGTAATATTTTGCCTATGTTTATTATGAAGTCTTTATCATTATTTTGCAATTGAAAGAAAATGTATACCCAACAATTGATAAATGAATAATTAAATAAATAGAATTAACCCTTGATTTGTTAACAAAACATATTTTTTCTATTATTGTTTAATATATAATTATTAATAAAACTAATTTCCTGTTTCTTGGAACCTTTCAACTTATTTTCTTTTTAATTAAATCAAAAAAACAGAAGCAACAAAAATATTGCCCCCTATCGTACCTACTAATTACCTCTAATAAATCCAGTAATAACCAACATATCAATTAATAATCCGCCACTATATGATGAGCGTTTATTATTATGCACACACACTGCGCGTTAAGAACAAATTAAATACAAGTTTACATGGCAATTAGCACACGAAAAAAGGCGCATAAAAATGCCGCTAATAATAATTCTCGCAGCCAGAATTTGAAGTCGGCCAAATAAAATTTAATGTTCTTTTATACTTATACTGTAAAGCAATTAAACGGTAAATCTTGAATTGAATTGAATTGAAGGCGTAATTAAATTATTAATTATTTTTAATTCTTCTTATTATTGCTGGAGCACACACCGAATTGTAAATTATTATAACATATGAATATTCATCGACAGAAACGAACAAAAACAGCGTTTGGGTATTTATTAAAATAACAGCCAATGTGAGAAACTGGTATTTGTAGTTTTAATTATATAAATGGAAACTACTTGAAATTTGAATTAATTTTAGTTTGAACGCGCATAAAGTGTGTTTCGATTGATAATTAATGCGTGGTTTTTGAATTGAAATACACCGGATGTTTTTTGGACGGTGTACGGCTGTGTATGATGGGAAAAACCTTCAAAGTTAACTATACATTATAAAATAACAAAGTAATTAGTAATTATGATAAAATATTTTATAGGTTTTATGTGAGGGCTATTATATTGGTTTTCATTTTAAAAATGTGTTTTTGAAAACAAGTCTAAAATAATTCTAGCAGTTATCATTAAGCTGGTTAATAAATTTTGCAAAACAACATGTTTTGAGTTTAAATCTGCGTTTTAACGTGAAATGCGTGAAATTTTTTATTGTTGGTTCTTTTATAAAATTTGCTTCTATTTGAACGATTTCAACGATCTAAATCGCTTAAAATTATTATTATAGCAAAACAACACGTTTTGAGCTAATTTTTGCAATATTTGTAATTCACAAATTAACAAAATTTTGTGAAACTTGAATATCTTGGCTTCGGGCGGCGTCTACCGGATGAAAGGAAAACAGTAGGAAAGTGAACAGTTAAAATCTGTAACTATCACCGGTGAATGCGTAGGTGAGTGTAACGATGCTTTTTCTAAGTTTACGCTTTATGCAAGGAGATGGCGCAAGAGACCAAATTTGTTAATAACTTGTATTTATTTTTAATTCACTGCTATCAGGTCGAATTTTTTCCAATAATTGTAATTTAATATTTTACCAAATATTAAACCAATGGTCATTATTAGAGTTTAGTGCAATTTTAGGAAATTGCATTAAAAGAAAGGTTTCTGTTTCTTTTTTCTCAAAAAATAGTATTGATTTTGCTGCAGTAATTTTAATTTTAACATAAAATAATAATGAAAATTTACATTAATAAAATTCAAAATTATTTTTTGGGCACAATAATATTGTGCATAATATAAGAGATAAAGACTTAAGCGCGCTCGTAAGGTGCTTCACCCTGCCAATTGCCCCTGAAAAATATATTGATTATTATTCAAATTGTTTTGATAAACCAATTTATTACGTACCCAGGTCCATAGTTGCAAGTATATAATTTTGCGTATGGATATTGCGGTTGATTTTTGTCATAGTACTGAATGAAATCACAACCTAAGGTGTTTGAGTCGTGCCAGATTACCTGAGATAAAATAATAACAATTGAATTACCATAAAATGAATATTGAAAATTTTCAAATATACCTGAGTATAATGTCCAGTTACGCCAGTAGATTGATCAGGATATATAAAATTTTTATGTTCTGAATACCAGCTGTTAACAGCAGCTGCCCAATCCTGACCAGGTGAATTTTCCGAACTCCAGCTGATGTATAAATTTTGTCCAACCCAACTCCAACGGTCTTAAAATAATACATTTAAAAAACATTTAAATATTATAAATAAATTCACTTTAAATATTATTATACTTTAAAATATAATTTAATTCTTACCATCAGAACCGATGATGTGCTCCATCTTGCAATTCTTAGATACTTTTCTGCCTTCGTTGGCTAAGTTGTCGTCGAAGCCTTCAATCAACAGAACATCTCTTCCTTTAGGTTGATTCGGTACGGTACCGTCCAAAATCATTTGACGATAGCGATTATGTTCATCAACCACAGTTCTTTTTCCTTCTTCATCAATGCCCCAAGCTATTACAATATAATACAATAATATAATTTATGTGGTATATATGTATCTACAATATAAAAATGAATCCCAAAATGTGTTGGTAAGCGCATAACTCAACAACGCCTAGACCAAGTTGACCAATTCTTTTTTAAAATGTTTGCTAAAGTCCCAGCATGGTTTTTACGGCGAGAAAAATTTGAATAATTGCCCGGAAAACCCTAAAGACAGCCCTTTTCTATAGGATAAAAGTTGACATTGAGATTCAATCATAGTTATAGTTAAATAGTTGGATCCAAGATGGCGCACTGAAGTGCATTATTAGCAATTCTTTATATAATAAATTTCTTTAAAATAAAATTGCGAATCTTATTGATAGAATTGACACATATTATGTTAGAACATGAGAATAAAATTGAATTACAATTTTATTAAACACTACCGGGACAAAGTCGCGGGCAATAGCTAGTATTAAATATTTATATTTATAGAATATTTTTTATGCATACCATAAATTTCAGATCCATCTGGACAATTCTCAGCCAATGCACCTGCATTAAATGCAATCAGAACAAACGCCGCAAATATGGAGAGATTCATTTTCAGTTATGTACTACTACTTTGCTACTGTTATAATTATGAGTTAGCATGCTTTTATACTAGGACGTAGGAAGTCCTTTATCTACCATTATTTATATAAAACGTGTGAAACGCTTGTGATATATGGGTTAAGGTATGCACGACAATTGATAAGACAACACGGAACTGCGTAGTTAGAATTTTCTAGGAATCAGTACACGCCAATCGTAATTAATCAAATATTATATTATATTATGCGCAAAATATTTTTATTTTATTTTTAACTTATAAACAAATAACTTGATAATATACGTAAGCGACAAAAAATTCTTTGAATACTTTTTAGATAAAGACATGTTTAGTTTTATATTTTGATTATAACTTATTTGACTTATTTTCAGTAGGTATATTTATTCTGATAAGAATATGAAATGTTTACAAATATGTATTCTAAATACATCATAACTATTAAATATCATTTTTAATTATATATATATATTGCTTAAAAGATATAAATCCAATTTTTTCTGCATTTCTCGAAATCTTTTCATTACTTGAAATTTTTTAAATAACTTTATTTACGTAATGTAAATGGTTTATTGTTTTTAAAATAATTAAAATACTGAAATCAAAATATAATCTTTTTACTTCTACTTTTCCACGGTTTTTAGACACAAAAAGTTGTACTTTAAACACGGACGACCAAGGCGGTGGCTAAAGTACTTTAGTCATGGGTTTTATTCACGGGGTGCAGCTTACGCCTGCGCAATCTGTATTTTCTATTAATATATAAAATATCTTTACAGAATTCAGGACGTAGGTTATTTTTATTATTTTAGGAGAGTTTCACATGTAATTGCCGAACTTTTAGCATTTAAATGCTTATTTGAAGATTCAATTCCTGAAGTAGGTACTCCTCCTCTTTAGTAGGTATGTCATAGAGAACGTGGTATTCATTAATATTAATTAAATTAATGTGCATACCATAATCTTGCTACGTACATGTGTGAATGTCACTACACTTTTGCATTATCCATGGTCAGGAGCAATAACGCTGAAACTTGTTTTTAACATATTTAGTATATTATTAAACAATATAATTAATTACGTGCAGAAATTTGTTTATAAATTTGTCTTTGTTTGCAAATTCTTACAATTATTAAGATAATAATAGTAATTAATATCGAAATAAGTAGAGAATTAACATTAAACAAAAATGCAAATTCTGCTGGATGTTTTACTGTTGTATATCCATGTGAAACAGAACAGTTATAGAAACAAGTATCTTCACTGCATGTTATCATATGTGGACATACTGAGCTATTGTAGAATTCCGTGCACAATTCAACACCACAAACTTCATTCACATTTTCAAACGTTAGTTGAATGTGAGGATAAAGAAGTGATGAACATGTTATATTTATATTGTCCCATCTATTGGTCTTATAATCCAATGAAGAATAGTGAAAATCATTCAATGTATTATCATTGCACTCGTCATTTTCATGAAAAATTACTTCGCGAATTGCTACAATATCATCAGGATTATATTCAATTCGCAACAAGTATTTACCAGTTTCTAATGCAAAAGTGTTAAACGTTTTATAATTCCACTTTGTGTTTTTATCACTTTGATAATTCACTTCGTTTATAATCATTTTACTATCCGTGGAATTAAACAGTTTCATTGTGATATGGTGTTTATAATTTGCTAACAACGAAATGCACAATTGGTTGGATGATACATTGAACCAGGAACTATCGACATATTTCATCTTTGGGCTACGCATCTCGTAATATGAATCTGAAATATTTTACATTGATTTATTGATATTATGATGTTATTATTTTTTAAATAATAATTATTATTTGCATACATTCATGATATTTCCATGAAGCATTTTCTGTACCAGAATGAATAAATATTTTTGTATATTTATTAAAGTCGTTAATATCCGGGGCATTATATGACAACAAAGATGTGTTGTCAATAATCACTTCTAAATATTGATTGAGGTATTTTATAGATATCTGACTCCATTGGTTTTCCGAGAAAATTGCTTCGTGTGTAATCTATAACGAAACCAATCAAATTTAACAAATATTTTTATATAAATAAACATTAATGTTTGCTTGAAATATTTGATATATTATTAATACTTTATCTGTTATTGATTGGCAATTTTCTGATAATATATTGGCAGATATCAAGTGCGCTACATGTCCTTGACATAGTAATAAGCGACTTTCGGTTCCATTTGAAATACCAAAGCCACCGACCAAACAATTACTCTCTCTATCGTCCGTGTTTGTACACAAGTAGATATATGCGTGCGATTTGCCCAAAAACGAGAAATTCAATTCAAATTGGTTTAGTATTTTTATTTCTACCAGTTGTTTTAAATCGTATTCTTTAGTAATTGGATATCCGTGAGTTTCAATAGTCGGAAACACTATAAAAAAATAAATGAATAATAAAAATTATTCATTTATAGATAATAAATAAGCTTTTATCTTACTTTCCCAGGTATAATCGGTAATTGGTCCAAACGTTGCTTTATAAGCATAATCCCTTGCCCAACCTTGTTCAGTCCAGTCGAAAGGTACAGGTTTAAAAATGTTGGCTAGAAATATTTATTTCATAATTATTTTATTCTACTCCCATTCACAAAGCGTCAATTTTTCCATGTTTTTTTTTTACACAAAAAGTGGTACTTTATAAACCGACGGCCAAGCCGTGAGTTAAGTACTTTACTCTTAGCATGCACTTGCGCATTTGCAGCACCAAACCATATGAAATGCTATGCCCCGCCCAGCAATAAGTCGAAGCAGGCGCACGCTCTTTCTCTCAATCAATCACATGACTAAAACCTCCGTTTAGCATTTTGATACTTAGTAAACTATTATTGGTTTATTTTATTTATTAACATACCTGCTACGTCATAAGTGACGTAGTTGTCTGATGAAATAGTAAATCCAATCGCATCATTGTAATCAACACTAACACACATGCCCTCTATACTGACGGTTTCTTCTATTTCAGTTTTATTTATAAATAATAGACTCGCTTTTGCTTGTACTTCATGAAGCACCTGAGCTGCTAAAAGCAGCATTACCAACAAACGCATATTGCTAAATGAAATATGCCATTACATAATTTTTCCACCTCATCTTTCGTGTTATCTCTATTTGAAAAAAAATACTATTCCTAGGTGAACATGCAAACAGTTGCAAGTTGCGAAATTATTTGATATAAAATTATCAAAAGCACTCTGGTGTCATATATTTACGAGTACTTCACTGTAGATTCGATGTTTTGCAAACGATTAAGGTTACTGCAATTAATATAAATGTTTCATTTGCTACCAATAAAATGAACATAACATAATAAAAATTTGAACTTAGTACTTTTTTTATACCACATATTAGCATATTTTATAAATTTTTGTTGACAAAAACTGTCTATAACATTTGCATTAAAAAACAATTTAAATGCCACTTCTAAACCAGAATTTAAAAGCATTCGCATACTTCATGTGAAAAAACTACTCTCTCATTTGAAACTGACGAGTAAACAACTATGATTGATTTGATAGACAACAAAACAATTAAAAACTTCAAACTATTAAAGATAAAATGTCAAATTATGATGCCACAATAATGTCACAGTGATAACACAGTGCTTAATATAAGATACCGCTGTGCTATCCATGCAATATCATCGTAACATCAAAGAACATAAAAAAATATATTAGACAAATAGTTGTGCCAAACTGTTTATTATTATACCGCCAAAAACCACACACCACCCAGTACTTGCCTCTGTTGGTGACAACTGTCCACTAGAACGATGCATTTTCAAATTAGGTTCTGTTTTGAACCAATTATGTGAAATTTGACCCCCAAATTCGTTGACAATTAATATACCTGCCTCAAACTGTTCTCCAGTGAAATTAAATTCCGGCATTAGGGTAAAGTAGAAAATAATTTCTCTATCTTCTATCTCACTGTATTTAATTTGTTTGTAATGTCCAATTACCCAACAAATTTGATCATTGTGTAACGGTATACTGGAAATTGATGATTCGCCAATACGTCTTTCACAATCACCTGCATTATTCAGTCTTGTTGTAAGTAGAATTACGTATAAATTACTATTATCTTCTGCATTTTGAATAGAGGGAATCAAAATGGTTAGTGAATTGGTGTCCACGTTGGTTATCCACAGGTTTGATGATAATGAAGCGTTAAGAACGGGACATTTAAACTGCTCATTCAACAATACTGATTTTGCCAATGTATTGACTGTCTGTATGCTGATATATGCTAGAGGACTATGTGATTTACATTGGAAAGACGTCTGAAATGAAATAAAATAAATTATTATAAAATTATGGCCAAGAAATATCATCTTCTTACCTTGTAAGTGTATGTTAAATTTGCGGGTTTTTTGTGACAATTGGCATTTCCATTTACTATTACATCAAATCCTATAATAGGCCCATTTGTTTTACTTGGATGCTGCCATTGTAATTGCAGAATTCGAGATGTATCCCAGAATGCTTGGAGATTTAAAGGTGGCTCAGGCACTACAACAAATTTCTGCGGTTTTGAATGTTTTTATAATATAAAACATGCAGTACCTTTTAATGTTGTACTTTCGGTTATAATTGCTTCCAATCCATAATTAGATATGTTCTGATTACGCCCAGCAATTGATATTATGTAGTTTTGGTTACTGGTAAGATTACTTAATGTAGTGCAATACATATTTGTCCATATTTTACATGGACTCAAAGAATTTATTACGGTTTGTTGCGTACTATGTCTCTTTGAAACGTAATGATATTTTATTTTAAATGAATCCAGTATTCCAGTTGGGGGATAAGGTGGACTCCATCTCAGTGATAAACTTGTTTCTGATAAGGTATAGACTTCTGCAAATGGAACGCGATTTGGAACTAAAAATAATATTGAATTAAAAAATGGCATTTTGAATATTTTAATTAAAGTACCACTTGATTGTGTCATAACATGTGAATATAGTATTTTCTTATAATCACTAATTGAATTTGCCATATTATGATATACAAAGACTTCCAAAGTGTAATTTGTGTACGGAAATAAATTTAGAATTGTAGTTGTGTCTTTATATTGTATTTGCTTCGACGCGTTGTTTCCTATTTCATCACACCAAGTACTCTTGCAGGTAGCATATGCATTCAGATAGATTGGACCAGTCCAATTTTCACAATCAATATTAGTGCCTATTTCTATCAAAGTTTCTAAGGTGGTAACCTTATAATTAAAGATGTTTATGTCAATTGTTTCAGTTGCATCTGTGTATCCTATAATATTTTCAATATCTCCTTGACCTTTCTTCGTAACTGCTGATACTGATATATTATAAATTGAATATGGTTGTAGATTATCTAATTCAATTGTCGTAGTTGTCACATTTTTAAATTGAACATTCCTGATTTTTTCGCGGGTAAACAATCTCTTTTATCATACAACTAAAACACCGAAAAATGGTCCATTTAATTTACATTAATTTTCAAATATGCTTTCGTCATTTATTCACCATCCACGTGACGATATAATTCCTGATAATTCCATAAACAGGTTTAGGTGGATCCCATATAAGACTGAGTCTCTTAGGTAGGTGGCGTAGAAATAACTTTTGCATTTCTAACAGCATTAGGAACTGAAATATTAAGATAATAAAATTAATTCAGCGCAAAAATATTATAAATAATATAAAATTACCTGATTCATCTGTGGTGAACATAATACTATGTGTTATTTTGTTACTTTCTAGTCAATTGAAGTGAATAATTAGTAAATATATCCAATGATGTTATAGTATTACTTAAGTTCCAAATGTTTTGACTTCTGAACTGAATTACTAGCTGAATCAACAACTATCATGTAATAACTGCTTAAAAAACAATTCTTATTGGAATTGTAAGATGCCACATTAATTGTCGTACGCCTGTCAATACTTCCAATTAGAATTTGATCTTTACGAAGTTCTGAAACAATTTTTTAAGTTTTTTTTTTTAATTTTTCGAAACTTTATCTACCTTCACACGTTGTTTCAAATTCAAATGTTGTCAATTCATCAAAACCACAATTTGACTTGGTACTAGTCACACATAAAATTATCTGATAAGCATATTTGCTTTCTTTAATTAAATTTGTAAATTTAATAATGTTGATTTTAATTTGTGTTAATTCTCCTTCTGTGGTAGTTCTGTTTGGCTGAATTAAACGAGTGTAATAATATTTAGGTCCCGCGACACCATCATATTTTAATTCTTTATCGTAGATTTTAATTGTGCAATTTGTAACACAATCAGTTTGAGTTGATGCAATTCCAGTTAACACTGGAAGATTTCTTTTCATGCAATCAGGAGCAAGATAGTTTATATTATTACATCCAAAGTAGCAATCACCATTTGCTGGATTGCAGAAGCTCGAAACGCACTTCCCACATTCACATGCACAATTACAACCATAATTGCCTCTTTCACACTCTGAAACAAACATTTTTTAAGATTACTTTTTGCAAGTGATTTTTGATTGCATTGCTTACTTTTGTCACAATATTGTCCAGTGTATCCTGTTGAACAGTGACATGATTTCTCATTACACGTTATTCTGTGCGGACAATTTGTAGTATTGAATAGTTTATTGTATAAGTCACACTCCTGCTGTTTATTACTTGGACAACTATCAATACTTTTGTGTGGCAGTTGAAGATTAAGTTGTTTGGCTGTGTGCCGAAGCGAGGAACATTTAATATTACTTTTTGTAACAAAGTTGTACTCTAAAGTTGATAAATGAAATTTATCAGTTTTACTTTCTTTGCAGTCTAAATGCCTGACAATGTTTCTGATTGCTATCTTATCATTAGGACTAAACGATATGCGTAAATTATATTCAGCACTTTCATCTACGTCTGAAATAAAAGTTTTATAATTCCATTGGGTGTTTTGATCACTCTTATAGTATTCAGTTTTGATGAGTTCTTGCGATGTGTCATAGAGTTGTATTGTTATATCTTTTGCATGATTTGCCAGAAACGAAATATGTAAATGATTAGAATTTACAAGAAATTTATTGCTGTTAATGAAATTAACGTTTGGTTTGCGAGCTTCATAATAAGTATCTGAAATTATAAATTATTTTAACCATTATATGAATTTGATTCATGCAAAAAGTTGTCTTACATTGATGATATTTCCATAATGCATTTTCGGTATTTGAATGTATGAATAGTCTGGTAAAACTATTAAATTCATTATCGTTTTGTGCGTGATAAGATAATAGACGTTCATCGTTGATTGTTACGTCTAATTGTTGGTTTACATATCTAATAGAAATTTGACTCCATTGATCACATGAAAACAATGGTCTATGTTCAATCTAAAGAAAACTTTTATAAACTTTGTGTTAATAAATTAAATTTGAAGTTTCATACTTTATTAACAACATTTTCGCATCCTTTCAATCTATCTTCGGAGTTTCTGGGCGATGCCCCTTCCCGACAACGTCTGATAACACTTCCTTCTCCATTCCACCCTCCAAGAATAAAAATGAAACATGTACCCCTTTTTACCTCGGCATTTGAACACAAATAAATTTGTGCACTTGATTTTCCCAAGAATGAAAAATTGATCTCAAAACGATTTCTGATGTTAATGTCTCCTAATTTTACAAATTTATAATTTTGCGTCAAGGGTGCCGATCTAGTCATAATAATAGGTAACACTAAATGAAATTAATTATTAATGTGTTATGAAATATATTAAGTTTAAATATTACTTTCCCATGTATAATCCATCACTGGGCCAAACATTGCATTGGATGCTATTTCAATGTCCCATCCATATTTTTCCCAATTAAAATCAACATATCGCAGGGAATCATTAGCTGTTCATCATTGGGAATCATTGTTATTTAAATAAAATAAAAATATTATATTAAGTATCAAGTGCGCATGCGCAAGCACAACCCTGTGATTAAAGTTCGGGTTTAAAGTATTTTAGTCACGGCCTTATTCATGTGTGTTTAAAGTACCACATTTTTGTATTTCAAAACCTCGGGAAAAAGCGCTTTAACAGCGTAAGCACGAAAATATGTTTAAGTGAATAAATACCTGAAATTGGTTTCGTAAATTTGGCGGGCAGTGGTATAATCCAAGCAGTTGCATCATTGTAGTCATTATTAACGCACGTCGCGTGAATTTTTGCATTTTCACCGCTTCCTGTTATATTAGCAAATAAAAAATGAGCCTCGCCATATATATTACCACAAAGCTGTGCTAATACAAGCAGTACTCCTAATATGAACGAGCGCATGTTGCAAACTAAACAAGTTTAGTAATGTTCATATTTGGTATATTTTATCTTAGGGATTGTCCATTAATCACGTGAGGCATGAAGGGGAGGGTTTGTTAAAATCACGAAAAATCACCAGGGGAGGGGAGTGGAGTAAGATATCACGTGTATTTATTTTTTCGTCAAACGCACGATTTCTAAAGAGAAAAATTTTATTATTCTTTGTTGGGATTAAAATACACGTGATGATGGGGGTGGGGGGTGGGGGTAATCTTAAACCTCACGACGTATCACCAAGGGGGAGGGGGGGTCCAAAAAATGAAAAAAAAAGATCACGTGATTAATGGACAGCCCCTTATCTACCTTCTGGGTTACCGATAAATGTATTGATGCCCATAAAGCCTTTACATTTTGAAAATGCACAAATATCCTTATTATATAATATTATAAACACAAACGTTTGTATGAAAAGTATGGATGAACGGATGTTTGTTATTCTTTCACGTAAAAACTACTGCATGGATTTTAATGAAACTTTACAATAATATAGCTTATATATCAAAATAACAGATAGGCTACAATTTATAAAGATATTTTATTAATGAATTGTTCAAAATATCAAGTAAGTAAGAAAAATTCAAAAACTACTTCTTGACTGGTACCAATTGATAGCCTCACCTTGTTGGCTTAATTATAACTATGGTCAGATGCAACAATGCAATTATCACTTAAAGACTATACAGAAATGCATTTGTGATTAAAATTAAAAATAAATTGAATATTGGCCTTATAACTAACTTAAGTAACCATTAAATCACCATATTTGTATTCTGATTATGACAATTGAACGTTTCCTTGTCGTAATATTATCACTAATTAGAGAGAATACAAAATGTAACTCAAAATAAACTAAGGTGAATTTAGTTTGCCATTGCATTCAAGTATTTTGTTGTTTAGTGTGTCACAGTTGCAAAATCATAATGGGATAAACATATATGACAAAAATAAAACAGTATTTCTTTACTAGGTTTTACTAATAGATTTTGCAATCTAATATCTTATCTTAATATATATAAATCTCGTGTCACAATGTTTGTCCTCAATGGACTCCTAAACCTCTTAACCGATTATAATAAAATTTGCACACCATGTGCAGTTCGATCCACCTTGAGAGATAGGATAGTTTAAATCTCAAATTATAGTCGCAATTTTAATTTATTGCTAATTATTTGTCTGTTATTATTTGACAGTCACAATTATCTGTTAACTCCAAATGATTCTGATCAGATGTCGATACCTTTCGACTGTTATTATTATTAGTTGACAGATAGAAACTCATTTTGACAATAATTATTAAAGTGAATGAATTTGTAAATTTAGAAATAGAAACTGTGAGTTTTAATAATGGATGTGGCACATATAGCTCAAAAAGTCTTTCAGGAATTTCGAAAATATTCGTGAAAGAGAAGTCGGGACAACGTTCGACAGGGCCGCTAGTTATTACTATATTTTCTATGGCTTTTTTATTACAATATGAAACAAACACTTGGAAAGTGCACTTATTGGTATATTATTATTGCACAAATTCATGTGAAGCAATTGTTTAGATACTATAAATAGTTTCAAGATAGGTTCAAAACTGTCTAAAGTGTAATTACCTACTTAGACTTTTTGCAATTCTCTATAGTATAAGTCATTCCGGGAATCAAATATCATTAAGTCTGTTTGGTGCAATTCGTTTATTTAATCCGATGAGATTTACTTGTCCGTTCAAGATAACTTTGCAAAAAATTAGATAAAATGAAAAATATACACCATATTCCACATTCAGTAAATTGAATTGAAATAAATAGGAAATCGGTAGCCTGGAGATTAAATATAATAGAATTATCATTATAAAAATATGTCAATATGAGGGCTTCACGCGATACCGAGACTTTTCTAGTATCGTCTCGTTCTCGTCTCGGAAAAGCGAGACGATACCTCATCTCGAGCGTTGCCAGTCATTCCGTGAAACTTGTCACGCGGAATCCTCACGAGCGGAGGCAGGCATAGCGTTCGAGTGAGTGGACTGATCTTCCGTCTCTCTCACTCTAGAGGCATACAAACAAATGGAGATTTTCTCGTGCGGAATTACCCAGATTGGAAACAGATAAATTTACGTGAAGATTGTAACTGATCGTATTGTATGTTATGTATGTATGTATGCATGCATAAATGTTTGTATAAATGTATAAAAATATGTTTGTTTGAATGTATGTATGAAGAAAAATGTATATCATAGTCGAATAAGTAAACTTGTCATTTTACACCCGAAATTTATCATCAAAAGTGTGAATAAAACGATAGATGTAATTTAAAATTTGAAAAAATTGTTATCTTCATTAATTCCTTACTTCCCAAAAACTTATATCACCAAGAAGACGTTATCACGTAAACATCTCGATCGTAAACCTACTTTACAAACAACCATTTTTTTTTCTCGGAATATACTCGTAATTCAAGCCGGATAACGATACTCGAATCAACATTTGCACGTGATTGTCAATTAAAAACACTTGATATCTTCCTATTCCATAAATTTGAACCCTATAATTGATTTTAAAGTATATACAAAAGTATCAATCCGGTGTATATTTATTATCATGTGGTGATTGCCCTAAAGTATACGTTGGTCAAACAGGGAGGTCTTTTAATGAGCGGATTATAGAACACGTGCATAGTTGCAAAATTAAGTCAAATCAGTCTACATATGCCGAACATTTATTAAAACATAATCATAATTTCGATCCAAATTTTAAAATTTTACATAGATGCAATAAAAGCCTAAAATTAAACCTATTAGAATCTTTAGAAATAAACACTTATTACAAAAAGGAATTATTGTTAAACGATCAGGTAGAAGTTAACAAATCCCCATTGCTTAATTTACACCTTTTAAAATAGTTCCCCCACCACTTTTCAATAAAACTTTTTCTCTATAAATAGTCAAATTTAGCACTTATAATTTTAATATTCATCTGCCTGATAATGCCACAGTGTGGCAAAACATGTCGCAGAGTGGTAAAAGTTTTAGTGAAACCCTTAAGGTTTATCTTTTCTATCAACGATTATAATGGAGTTTTATCATGTAAGTGCCGCAACAATTCAATATTTAAAAATATTCTAGCAAACACGACTGACATTGGAATAACAAAACATTTGTACTCATTTGTGCTTCTTGATATGGGAATACTTTAGAGATCATAATCATACTTCATCCGTATGTAATTAGAATTAGAAGATATCAATAACAGTATTGACAACGTAGGCGTGACAAGGCTAGAATATCTAAACAGTATTTATCAATTATAGGAATTTGCAAACATTGATAATTTATCTTATGAGTTTATTATAAAATTAATTGTGTTTAAGAATGTCCTTATTAACACCGACCATAGTTTGATGGTGAGAAATATCTGTCATGGTTCTTACTCTCATTTGCCCAGATGACCTAGATTATGAATAATTTCTACCATTGCGCTGTAAAAATAAAAAAAAAACATCGGATTAAATGAATGAAATTTTTAATTGCGGGGCACATAATGTTATGAAATTAATTACAACTTAACAATACATGGAAAAGCTCGTTTTAGATAAAAGTATATTAATTAAAAAATACTAAGAAATACTTATTAAAGTGACATTTTTGTCGATTCTTGTCTACTTGTCAATGACTGATTAGATAAATAAAATTAAATGTACACTTATATAAAAGCCAGCGCTTAAATAAAAATTGCTCTTGATATTCAAAATGCTTCCAGGCGTATTATTCCTGTTTATACCACTATGTTTCTGCAAAGTACATGGAAAGACACGGTTGCTGTTAGCTAATGTGACTGGAACTGGACTAAAAGCCAAAGTTCGTGCAACGTGCCTCAATGATGATTACAACGACGCAATTACATGGATCACACGACCAACCAACTTAATTGGACCTATTTCAGGTATTTAAATATTTATAGCATACTAGTTAACCCGGCAAACGTTGTTCCGCCTCGCTTTGCTCTTGTGATTGAGAAGCACGAAGTCGAGTCATACTAACAGGGCGCTTTTCACGTGCAATTCTTTGTTCTTCTTCAGTCCTTTCAATCGCAATCCTTCGAATCCTAGTTGCATTACGGTTTTGTTGGATAAGATTTGATCGTTTTGGTCGCTGCATGTTGAGTGGGGTAGCTACGAAGCATCGCACAAAGAGGAGACGGGGATAATAGCTTTGTATTTGCGTTCTCTTATTCTCCTGCAAGATAATCCATATACGCAAACATGTTTGTCTCTTTTTAGTGTCGTTTAGTGCCTTTTTAGAAAAGTTTTCACTTCAAAAAGTATCCCATTACCTTCTCCTGGCCCTAAGCTACCTCTCCACCAATTTTTAGCTAAATTGGATTAACCGTTCTTTAGTTATAAGCAAGGTAACTAACACGACTTTCTTTTATATATATATAGACAAGATATTAAGACTCACGTGAACCAAACAGCACTTCAGTCACAAAATTCAATCAAATGAATCCAGTGTTTAACAATGATTACCGATGTTTATGCGATACGTGATGTTTATGATATCTTTTCTACTTATAACTTATAACGGATTTTTCACACTACTAAGAAATGTATGTAGTTTTATAAATTCCTTTGAATAAGTTTGACACATGACATTTCATATAGTAATGTGCTGCACCGAAATCGAATGCGCAGACGCCAACTTTACCCATGACTAAATCACGTGATTAAAGTGTCACTTTTCTTATCACAAAACCGTGCAAACGTGGAACTTTTAAAGTGGAACTACAAAAAATATAATTAAACACAAATAATAATCTTACTTTAAAGGTAGTGAATCTCTGCATTATGTTGATTATAATTGGAAAAAATATGGGTGGGATATTGAAGTTGCCTACAACGCAACGTTTGGTCCAGTGATGGATTATACTTGGGAAAGTAATATTTTCACTTAGTATATTTTATAATATATTAATAATGAATTTCATTTAGTGTTCCCAATTATTATGACTAGATCGGCGCAACTAACTCAAAATTATAAATTCGAAAAAATAGGAGAAATTAATATCAAAAATCGATTTGAAATCAATTTTTCATTTTTGGGAAAATCAAGTGCACAAATTTATTTGTGTTCAAATGCCGAGGTAAAAAGGGGTACATGTTTCATTTTTATTCTTGGAGGGTGGAATGGAAAAGGAAGTGTAATAAGACGATGTAAAGAAGATGCGTCCCCTACAAACTCCGATGATAGATTAAGAGGATGTGAAAATATCATCCATAAGGTATGCAATGTTAAATGTCACTAATAAGGTTTAAATAAGACATTTTCAGATTGAACATAAACCACTGTTTTCAATTGATTATTGGAGTCACATTTCAATTCGATATATAAATCAACAATTAGGAGTAATAATCAATGAGGAACATTTATTATCCTACCATGCCAACGATCAAGGAAAATTTAACAATTTTACAAGACTATTCATACATTCTAATACCGAAAATGCAATGTGGAAATATCATAACTGTATGTAAACAAATTTTAATGCATATTTGTTTTATGTCAAATGTTGCTTTATTATTTTAGATACATATTATGAAGCTCGTAAACCAATCAATAATTTTATTAATAGTAGTTGGTTTTATATGGATTCTAATCACTTATGTATTTCGTTTTTTGTAAAATTCACCAAAGATATTACATTACAACTCTATGATGTGTCGCAAGAGCTCATCAAAACAGAATACTATAAGAGTGATCAAAACGCACAATGGAATTATAAAACATTTTATTCAGACGTACATGAAGATGCTGAATATTATTTACGCATTTCGTTTAGTACTAATGATAAGGTAGCAATTCGAAACATTGTTAATCATTCTGACTGCAAAGGTAGCAAAACGAACAACTTCCATTTCTCAACATTAGAGTACAACTTTGATTCAGCAAATAATATTAAATGTTCTTCTCTTCGACACAACACCACGCAACTTAAAATTTCATTTCCAAACGAGAGTACTGATGTTATTACGAGTGATAATCAGAGTCAATGTAATATATGTACTAATGTCTACAACACTACAGAATGTCCACACAGAATAACGTGCAATGAGAAATCATGTCATTGCACAACAGGATACACCGGAAAATATTGTGACAAAAGTAAGGAGAACAATTAAAAATCAGAAACATATTCGCAAACATTACCCGTTTTTATTATGTTTCAGTATGTGACAGGGGAAAATATGGCTGCAATTGTGCATTTGAGTGTACAACCTGCATTTCAAATTTTTGCAATCCAGCAAATGGTGAATGCTACTTTGGTTGTAATGATGTAAATTATGTTACACCATTCTGTAAAGAAAGAAATCTACCAGTGTTAACTGAAATTGCATTCACTCAATCTGATTGTGTCACAAATTGCACAATTACAATCTACGACAAAGAATTAAAATATGACGGGGCAAAGGAACCAAAATATTATTACACTCGTTTATTTGAACCAAATGGAACTATTACTGAAGGAGAAATAACACCAACTAAAGTCAATGCTATTAATTTTACCAATTTGACTGGAGAATATAAATATTACTATGAGATAGTGTTATGTGTGACTGAGGAAAAATCAGAATGCTTCAGTGAGGACTTGACAACATTTCAATTTAAAACAACATGTGCAGGTACTTTAAATCATATTAATATTCATATCACTGTAAACTTTATTGTAGAATTGCAAACAAATCAAATTCTAATTGAAAGTGTCGACAGACGTACGACAATAAATGTGACATCCTACAATCCCAGTCAAAATTGTCGCTTAGATAAGTATTACTTGTTAATTCGAGATGAAACAAGCAGTGCAATTCAGTATTCGAAACATTTAGAACTGAGTAATGCAATACCATCATTAGACATATTTACTGATTATACACTGCAATTGACTAAAAACAAGAAAATAATACATAGCATGATATTTACTACAGACGAATCGGGTAATTATAATAATATCATATGTAATATCTCATCAATTTAATTTTGTTTTAGTTCCAAACAAAGTTACAAACTTAACAATTACTACTTCCACACCTAGTAAACTTAGTGTTATCTGGGAAGCACCAACACCTGCTTTGGGAATCATTACCAATTATGTCGTCACATGGATGGTAACTGACCCATACAAAAATCTAATAATGTCTCGAATTATCAAATTATAATTTCAGTTTCTGGATAAAAGAGGTTGTAGGATTACAAATAACACATCAAATATCCAATCAAAAAATATAACAACCACTGCAATTGAATTAGATGATCTACAACCATATTCAATTTACAATATATCAGTATCAGCAGTTACTAAGAAAGGTCAAGGAGATATGCAGAGTATTATAGGATACACAGATGAAGCTAAAACAATTGACATAAACATGTTTAATCGGAAGATTACCACTTTAGAAACTTCGATTCAAATAGGTTTAGTTGTTGAATGTGAAAATTGGAATGGTTCAATCTATCTAAGCGCATATGCAATTTGCAAGAGTAAATGGTGTGAAGGAGACGAGATGAATAGGACTAAACACATGCAATATAATGATTTAATTACACTTGATAGTTTACTTTCATACACAAATTACAAATTAGAAGTAAATTTTCTTCGTAATGAAGTGGATAGAATTAATGATTATAACAAATCTTGGTCAACTGCCGTGATGACATTATCAAGTGGTATGTTTACTTTGCCTTAGCTTCAAAATATTTCATTTTTGTATTTAATGCTGATTTTAGTACCAAATCAAGTTTCATTTGCGGAAGTATATAGCTTATCAGAAACAAGTATATCATTGAGATGGAGTCCACCTTATCCACCAACTGGAATACTGGATTCATTTAAAATAAAACAATATTACATTTTAAAATCATATAGGACGCAAGTAACCTTTTTTAATTATTTGAGTCCATGTAACATATGGCCCAACATGTATTGCACTACATTAACTAATCTTACTACCAACCAAAACTACATAATTTCAATTGCTGGGCGTAATCATGCTATTTCTAGTTATGGAGTGGAGACATTTTTGAATGAAACCACATTGATTAGAGGTAATTTGAGGTAAACCTATAAAAATTGAATTATTAATAAAATGTTCTTTTCGATTAGCTCCACAACCACCACTGAATTTAGTTGCCAAATGGGACGATCTTCGCATTCTGCATTTGCAATGGCAACATCCTAATAGAACAAATGGACCACTTTTAAAATTTAAAATTATTGTGAATGGACAACAATATTATCACGTAGTACCAGAAAACCACACATATGCTTTTAAAGTAGGTACCAATTATAATATAATTATCTAAAATTCACAAAAAATGCTTACATATTTTATTATTTCTTTATTTCTTGTTTCAGACGTTATTTAAGTGTAAACCTGAAACTCATCAGGCAATCGTTTCTATACAAACAATTAATTCAAAATTTACTTCGGTTTTGCTGACTCAGCAATTTGTTTGTCCAATTTTAAAACCATCTCTCAGCACTGAGCCTTTTCAAAGACGAAATATCAACAATTCCATAACTATTTCAATGCCGATTGTTGAAAATGCTGAAATAATAAGCAATTTGTACATTATTGTCCTCGCAAATGAATTGGACGATACATGCAATTGTAAAGAAAAATTAAGAGAAAATCAGAAGTCACTTGTTCCAATTAAAGAAAAACAGAAATATTGGATTGTTGGGCACTACCAGAAAAGTGAATACAAAGAAATTGTCGGAACAGACGTAAATATAAACCTATCACAAATACCAGAATTTAATTGTGCTAGAGAATTTTGTGAAATAGGCATATTGATTGTAAATGAATTAGATGACCAAATGTCATCTAATTGGTATCTCGTAAAACAATTGGAAGATACCGAATTTCCAAGCATGTTTGTATATTTTTTTCTTTTGCCTATAATAATAATAAGTATTGTTGTTATAATAGTACTGGGTTCATGGGCATGGAGCTATAATTGTTCCAAGAAAGACACACACACACGCAATACTCAATATTCTGAAATACTAGAATACCCAACACTTCCATTGGAAGAAATAAAGTCAACTGAAATTAAAAATGAGAAATGTTCCCGACTGGTAGCGGTACATAAATTTAACGCATATGTCAACAACGTTACAAATGGGGATGAGTTGACGATTGAGTTTAATAAAATCATTGCATTAACCCAGAAAACCGTTAAATTGCGTCATGTGTATTCAGCAGCAGAGTGCTTTGATGCTAGTTACATATCTGTAAGTTTTTATTAATAAGAATTACTTATGGTTTTAATTTAACCAATTTTTAATTTAAAGAGTCCGTTTTGTGACAAAGCATATATTTTCTGTTCAACTCCAACGGTTTTTGATCCATACCAGTTTTGGAAGATGGTCATTGCAGAAGAAGTAGAAAACATTGTGCTTTTCGCTAGCACAGATGATATAAAAAATGTATGCATACTTTAACACTTTATATGGGTAAAAATTAACTGTTTTATTTTTAAAGGAAAAGTTTATTCAATACTGGCCTGACGATCGCTCCATTAAATCAATTCACCTCTCAAATATCAAAGTAACAACTCTGAAAGTATACTCATTTATAAGTATCGAGATACACCATTTCAAAGTTCAACAAGCTAATATTGTAAGAGAGACTCGTTTCTTGCACTTCACAAATTGGGATATAGAAGGAACGCAGATACATCCCGACAATATAGTTTTATTACTCCAATTAGTTCAGGAGATAAGGTACTTTCCACAACGTCCTATATTAGTGCATTCCTTGGGCAAACCTAATGTAGGTGCTGATATGTTTATACTGGTCCATATTTGTATACAACAAGCACAGCAGGAAGATCGAGTGGATATTTGCCATCAAGTTCACAATCTTCGAACCCAGCGACCAAATTTTATTGACAGTGTGGAAGAATATTTGTTTGCTCATCTTGTTTTACTTCAGTATATCAACATGCCGCAAAATGCTTACTATGAATACTATCCAGCGATTTATAAAAAATTAGATAAAGACAAATTTACACAGGAAATGACAAATATTGAACACTCATTGAAGCTCATGGAATTGCTACAAACTAGATATCCCATATTAAATGACAAGAACAACCCCGAAAATAACAAACATCACATATTACCACATTCATCTCGCAGCGTTTTCTTATCGCCTCCTATAGATGACAATTCATGCAATAACATTGCCATCTTTGTGGATGGTTTCCAGCAACTCAAAAAATTTATCGTCATTCAACATCCACTTAAAAATAATGTTGATGACTTTTGGAAAATAGTAATGGACAACAATGTACATTTAGCAATTTCATTACAAACTGAATACCATGTACGTTTTACATATTTGTTATTTTGTATTTTGCTAATATAGCTTGTATTTTTGCAGATTAAGCCCTGGAAAAATGATGGGCACTTTATTACTCCAAATGGTTTAACAGTGATTCATTTAAGAGCTTTAGAAACAGATCATTTTTACATGCATACATTAAGATTAGAACAAAAAGAAGTATCAATGGAATATATACAAGTACACATAATTGAAGTTAAAGGATGGGACGAAGGCCAAGTACTGCCGCATAGTTTGTCCATTTTACTAAAAACTAGACTTCAGATGAATAGAATGAAGTGTCCCGAATTCAAAAGGATTTTAGTAATGTGCAGGTACTTTTATGAAATAAATATACGAGTTTGTTTGATTGCGAGTTGCTATTCTAGAAATGGTACCACTGCATCTGGTTTATTTATTGCCACGTGTAATCTTCTAGATTCGATTGAATCTGAACCTGTGGTCGACGTGTATAGATCTGTACGAAATATTCGTTATAATAAGCGTCAGTTCGTAACTGATGAAGTAAGATACACACCATCATCCATACATTAAAAATTGATTACTGTTTCTTATAGATTCAAATTCGTGCCTTGTTCAACATTGCAACTTTATATTTAAATAATGATGCGGTATTCACTGACTATTCGATCGCGGAGAAGAATGCATACAAAGGTTTGTGAAATTCATATTCGTATAGCGGCATTTTATTGAAATATCTTCATTTTTCATTAGAGAACATGGAATCGATTGTCAAGAGATCGATGTGACCAAGTGCACAAAATTGAATAATGGTGTGTATCCAAAAAGTTGTTTTTCTCGAGAATCACAAAGTCTTTTTGGCAACCACAGACATAGTCGCTATTCAGTGATATAATCACCTTCTAAATATAAACGCAAAAATCAACATCAAAGCTCCACATAATGGAACATGTCTTTGGAAATAAATTGGAGGAAAAACTTTTGCCACCATTCTGTTGGCTTCAGATTGTGTACCTATATATAATTTTATTTTATTTTATATTATTTTAAGTTATGATTATATTTTAATTTTAAGTTGTTTATGGATATACCAACTAAGGCTTCAAGGCGAAGCAAGTGTACTCGGAACAAAGTGTAATTTAATTCACGTGCCATTTTAAATAAATATATCACTATGGACTAAGTATTCAAACATTCTGATTTTATTTTGATTTGGACAAAGAAAAAAGAACGGTGTCGGTTAAACCTAAGTTTTGATCATTATCCCACCGCGTAATCTATGAGGGTACTCACTAAATATTCACAACGTGGTGGTGAGGTAGACTACTTTGATTGGTGGTTGAAAGGGGCGGTTAAGAGTACGGCACGTACCTTGACACAATTAAAATGTCAGAAATAATCGAATTTAAAAAAAAAATTAATCCTATTTAAATGTACCTGTCTGGAAACTGACAGTTCAAAATAAAACCGACCCTGTCTATATCAATCACGGCGCGTACATCCTGTGTATGCCACTTGAAACTTCAAGTCTGACGAATGCGATTGCGCCGATAGTTCTACCTAAAGAGTGAATGGAGTGTTGGCAAAATGTTGGTAATTTTAATCCTCCAATTTTGAAAAGTTGAATTTTGAAAATTTGAAAAATGAACGGTATATAGATTCTCAAATTAAAATTAAGGCTCAAAGAAAATTTCATTAAAACAATTGAAATTAAAACAATAGAAGTAAAAGAATGGCATTTAAATCAAGCAGTTTCGCAAGATTTACGCACTTTGTTGAGAACTTGTCTCTAGATCCATAAAATAAAATGTCAAGAATTTATTAATATTATAAAAGTTAGTATGTGCAGGAATTTATGAAGGTATTTATTTATCAGTTTATGAAGATGCCCTCAGGGCGAAACATGTCCACTCAATATATAAAATGCAAATCCACAAAAAATTACGTATAAATTTTAATAAATAAATATTTTTAAACTATACAAAAAATGGATTACGTATTCAACACTAAAAGTAATAAAAATATTTTAATAGAATAATTATTATCAAAATTATTTTCTATCAGATGCAATTTCAAAAATGCCACTGCATTCGGTTTATTTATTGCAACGTATAATATCTAGGATTGTATTGAATCCAAACACGTGATCGATGTGTGCATGAGTGTACGAAATATTCAAAATAGCAAACGAAAATTTGTCGCAGATAAAGTAAGAAAAACTTATACGTAATTTCAAGTATGTTATATGCATTTTCTACCAAATTGTTCGTTGCAGAGTCAACGATGTTGCAATTTTGTTATTTATATTGTTATTTATTTAAACGGTTGATGGTGAGACGGAGTTTTTAAACTTTCCTTTAGTGTTAATTTCTCACAGTACAATAAAATAGTTTAAATCAAAATTTATAGCAGATAAAAGTACATAATGTTATGAATATGTGATAATCATGAATAATTTGTAACTCAGTGACTAAAGTTTTATTATTCACGTGAACTAAACTGTACTTTAGTCACAAGATTTAATCAAATCAATCGGGTGTTTAACAATGGTTAACGAAGTGATGCTTATGATATTTTTTCTTCTTTCAATCTATTTCCACATGTTTGTTTCTGTATTTAAATATTTGTATTTTAAAACATTACCAACTTTCAACACTACCAGAAAATGTAATTTCATAAATAAAATTAGAAGTTGGTTTGGCTATTGGCGCATGTCATTTCATATAGACTTTTATTGCTGCACCCCGTGACTAAAGTGCCACTTTTCGGGCCACGAAACCGTGGAGAAGTTGGCGCTTTTAAGGTGGAATTGAAAAATATTATTAAACGCGAATAATAATCTTATTTTAAAGATAGTGAATCTCTGCGCTATGTTGATTTTAACTGGAAAAAATATGGGTGGGACGAAGAAATAGCCTACAACGCAACGTTTGGTCCAGTGATGGATTATACCTGGGAAAGTAATATTTTAATTTAATATATTTTATAACATAGTATAAATTAATTTACTTTAGTGTTTCCAATTATTATGACGAAATCGGCGCAACTAACCCAAAATTATAAATTCGAAAAAGTAGGAGAAATTAATATCAGAAATCGTTTTGAAATCAATTTATCGTTTTTGGGAAAACCAAGTGCACAAATATATTTTTGTTCAAATGCCCAGATAAAAAGGGGTATATGTTTTATTTTTATTCTTGGAGGGTGGAATGGAAAAGGCAGTGTGATAAGACGATGTAAAGAAGGTGCGTCGCCTACAAACTCCGAAGATAGATTAAAAGGATGTGAAAATATCGTCCATAAGGTATGCAATGTTAAAAGTCACAAATAAGGTTTAAATAAGACATTTTCAGATTGAACATAAACCACTGTTTTCAATTGATTATTGGAGTCAAATTTCTATACGATATATAAACCAACAATTAGAAGTAATAATCAATGAGGAACATTTATTATCCTACCATGCCAACGATCAAGGAGAATTTAACAATTTTACAAAACTATTCATACATTCAAATACCGAAGATGCACTGTGGAAATATCATGACTGTATGTAAACCAATTTTAATGCATATACTTTTTATGCCAAATGTTGCATTATTATTTTAGATACATATTATGAAGCTCGTAAACCAATCACTAATCTTATTAATAGTAATTGGTTTTATATGGATTCTAATCACTTGTGTATTTCGTTTTTTGCAAAATTCACCAAAGATATTACATTACAACTCTATGATGTATCGCAAGAGCTCATCAAAACTGAATACTATAAGAGTGATAAGAACACACAATGGAATTATAAAACATTTTATTCAGACGTATATGAAGATGCTGAATATTATTTACGCATTTCGTTTAGTCCTAATGATAAGGTTGCAATTCGAAACATTGTCAGGCATTTAGATTGCACGGGAAGTAAAACGGATAAATTCCATTTTTCATCATTAGAGTACAACTATGATTCAGCAAATAATATTAAATGTTCTTCTCTTCGACATAAAACCACTCAACTCAAAATTTTATTTCCAAACGAGAGTACTGATGTTTTTTCGATTGATAATCAGAATCAATGTAATATATGTACTGAATTCTATAACACGACAGAATGTCCACACAGAATAACGTGTAATGAGGAATCATGTCATTGCCCAACAGGATACATCGGAAAGTATTGTGACAAAGGTAATGAGAACATTTAAAAATCAAAAACATATTCGCAAACATTACCCGTTTTTATTATGTTTCAGTATGTGACAGGGGAAAATATGGTTGCAATTGTGAATTTGAATGTGCGAATTGCATTTCCAACTTTTGCAGTCCAGCAAATGGTGAATGTTACTTTGGTTGTAATGATTTAAATTATGTTGCACCCTTTTGTAAACAAAGAAATCTACCAGTGTTAACTGCTATTGCATCTACACAAACTGATTGTATCACAAATTGCACAATTACAATCTACGAAAAAGAATTAAAATATGAAGGAGTCCAGGAACCAAAATATTATTACACTCGCTTATTTGAACCAAAAGGAACTATTACAGAAGGAGACTTAACATCAATTAAGGTCAATTTCTTTAATTTTACTAATTTAATTAAAAAATTGAAATATAAATATGAGATAGTTCTGTGTTTTACTAATACAAAATCAGCGTGTTTCATTGATGATTTGACAACATTTGAATTTGAAACAACATGTGAAGGTACTTTATATTATATTTATACACACATTAGTGTATTTCTTATTGTAGAATTGCACGCAGATCAATTTCTAATTGAAAGTGTCGACAGGCGTACGACGATAAATGTGACATCTTACAATCCCAGTCAAAATTGTCGCTTAGATGAGTATCACATGTTAATTCTGAATAAAGCTGGCATTGCAATATATTATTTAAAACATTTAAAAATCAGTAATATTATATCACCAATAGACATTTATACTGATTATACACTGCAATTAACTAAGAAACAACAAAATAACACATAACATCATATTTACAACAGACGAATCGGGTAATAATATTGATAAAATAGGTAATATTTTGTTGTTTATCAACTTGATTGAAATTTTGTTTTAGTTCCAAATAAAGTCAGAAACACAACAATTATTTCTTCAACACCTAGTAAACTTAGTGTTGTTTGGGAAGCACCAACACCTGTTTTGGGAATCATTACTAATTACCACGTCACATGGATGGTAACTGACCCATACATTGATCGAATAATGTCTCTAATTATAAAATTTTAATTTCAGTTTCTGGATAAAAGAGGTTGTAAGATTGCAAATAGAATATCAAATATCCAATCAAAAAATATAACAACTACTGCAATTGAATTAGATAATCTACAACCATATTCAATTTATAATATATCAGTATCAGCAGTTACTAAGAAAGGTCAAGGAGATATGCAAAGTATTCTAGGATACACAGATGAAGCTAAAACAATTGACATAAACATGTTTAATCGGAAGATTACCACTTTAGAAACTTCGATTCAAATTGGTTTAGTTGTTGAATGTGAAAATTGGAATGGTCCAATCTATCTAAGCGCATATGCTATCTGCAAGAGTGAATGGTGTGAGGGAGAAGAAATGAATATGACTAAATACATGCAATATAATGATTTAATTACACTTGATAGTTTACTTCCATATACAAATTACAAATTAGAAGTAAATTTTCTTCGTAATGAAGTGGATAGAATTAATGATTATAACAAATCTTGGTCAACTGCCGTGATGACATTATCAAGTGGTATGTTTAGTTTGACTTAGCTTGAAAATGTTTCACTTCTGTATTTAATGCTGATTTTAGTACCAAATCAAGTTTCATTTGCGGAAGTATATAGTTTATCAGAAACAAGTATATCATTGAGATGGAGTCCACCTTATCCACCCACTGGAATACTGGATTTATTTCTAATAAAATATTATTACTTTTCAAAGGGATATAGTACGCAACAAACCGTTATTAATTATTTGAGTCCATGTAAAATATGGCCAAATATGTATTGCACTACATTAACTAATCTTACTACCAACCAAAACTACATAATTTCAATTGCTGGGCGTAATCAAGCTATTTCGAGTTATGGAGTGGAGACATTTTTTAATGAAACCACATTGATTAGAGGTAATTTGAGGTAAAACTACGAAAATTGAAATATTAATAAAATGTTCTTTTCGATTAGCTCCGCAACCACCACAGAATTTAGTTGCAAAATGGGACACGTCACGAATTTTACATTTGCAATGGGAACATCCCAATAGAACAAATGGACCATTCTCTGGATTTAAAATCTGTATTAATGATCACCAATATTTATACGAAGGACCTGGAAATACCACATACAATTTTAAAGTAGGTAACAGTTTGCGTCGTCTGAAATCAATATAATTATTTAAAATTTTCAAATAACATATTTTATTATTTCTTTATTTCTTGTTTCAGACGTCGTTTCAGTGTAAACATGCAATCTATAGAAATGCAATAGTTTCTATTCAAACGATTAACTCTGAATTCACATCTGCTTTATTAGCTCAACAATTTGTTTGTCCAATTTTTAAACCATCTCTCAGCACTGAGCCTTTTCGAAGACGAAATGTCAACAATTCCATAACTATTTCAATGCCGATTATTGAAAATGCTGAAGCAATAAGCAATTTGTACATTATTCTCCTGGCAAATGAATTGGACGATACAGGCGATTGTAAAGAAAAATTAGGAGATATGCAAAATTCACTTGTTCCAAAAAAAGGAATACAGAGATGTTGGATAGTCGCGCACTATAATAAAAGTGAATACAAAGACATCGAAAAAACTGAAATAAATTTTAACTTAACACAATTAAGAGAATTATATTCTACCAGTGACCAGTATGAAGTTGGAATATTGATAGTCAATGAGTTTGATGGCCAAATATCATCTAATTGGTATCTCGTCAAAATGTATGGTTTGGAAAATTATAAATTCGATAATACTACATCTCAAAGAATTTTCGCATTTTTTTATCGTTTAACAATAATTATAGGTACTATTTTTTTCCTGACTTTATGGACATTGATATATAAGTGTCACTGGCAATACACAATCGCACGTAATAGTATATATGCGCCTATAGAAAAAAGAAGTGTTAGGTGCTGGTAGGGGTACATGAATTTCACAAATATGTGAAAAGCATTGCAAATTGGTACCAGTTGCCTACGGAGTATAATAAAATCGTTGCATTAAGAAAAATGTTAAATTACATTATGGAAAATTAACATTAGAATGTCTAGATGCTAGTTACATAGCTGTAAGTTTTTATTAATGGGAATTACTAATAATTTTATGTTAACCAATTGGTAATTTAAAGAGTCCTTTATGTGACAAGGCGGATATTTTTTGTTTGGCTCAAACTATTTTTAATTACTACCAGTTTTAGAAGAAGTAAAATACATTGTAATTTTTGCTTTATTTGGGATAAAATTGACTGTTTTATATATACGTATAAATCTTTATTTCGAACAACTTGTTTACAAATATATACACACACTCAATATTATCACTCGTATAAACACTATTTTTGATTGAAAAACTACGAAAAATTGCCTAAAACGCAATTTGCTAATTGAGATTAATTTTGCCCAATATTTACTACAAGTATTTAATGTTAAAGAAAAATGTACACAATATAATACATGTAAAATTTGTTCATATTTTTTTCCAATCTCAGAAAACTTCTCTATGACGATATCAAATACCAAGTCCATTGAGCGTCGTTACTCAAAGCATCCATTGTAGTGCATTATGGATTTGACCAGTATACTCGTACCTGATGCATAAGAACGATAGTATTTCTACTGCAGCAATACGAGTAGTTCCCCACACGCATATCATCAATACCAACATGTTATAAATCAGTCTACAATGTCATTCATTTCTGTTATGCTTAATACTCGAGAATAAAATTTTCGTTTTCTGAAAATTATTCCAAATCCAAGCAGTAGTAAAACTATTAAGAAACACGCCACACATATTAACAAACATTGCCATATTGATAAGCTTTTATTATCACTATGCTGTTTTATGTAGTTTTCTGATTTAAACCAATTATTTGATACTTGACCAGCATATTCATTAACAATTAACATGCCTACTTTATACTTTTCAATATCAAAATTAAATTCCGGCATTTGGGGAAAGCTCAATGTAATTTCTCTACCTTCTATTTCTTTGTATTCAATTTGTTTGTAATGTTTAATAACCCAACAGATTTGATCCTTTTGTAAAGGTATACTGGAAATTGATGAACGCCCAATACGTCTTTCACAATCACCTGCATTATTCAAATATGTGGTAAGTAGAATAACGTACAAATTACTATTTTCTTCTGCGTTTTCAATAGAGGAGATCCAAATAGTTATAGAATTGGTGTCAACGTTGGTTATCCACAGGTTTGATGATAATGAAGCGTAAAGAACAGGACATTTAAATTGATCAGTCAAAAATGTTGAATTACACAGACTATTGACTGTTTGTATGCTGATAACTGCTAGGTGATTATTTGCTTTACATTGGAAGGATGTCTGGAAATAAATTTTTACAAATTTATAGCCAATACATATTATCTTCTTACGTTATAAGTGTATGTAAAGTTTTCGGGTTTGTTGTAGTGATAAACAATTCCATTTATTTTTATTTGAAATCCTAAGAATGGTCCATTTGTTTTATTTGGATGTTGCCATTGCAAATGCAGAATTTGTGATGTATCCCAGAATGCTTGAAGATTTAATGGTGGCTCAGGCACTACAACAAAATATACAACTTTATAATGGTTTTATAGTGTAGAACGCTTCGTATACCTTTTAATGTCGTTATCTCGTTGACTATTGTTTCCAATCCATATTTTGATATGTTCTCATTATGCCCAGAAATTGATATTATGTAATTTTTGTTTGTTGTAAGATTAGTTAATGTAGTGCAATACATATTTGGCCATATTTTGCATGGACTCAAATAATTATTAACGGTTTGTGACGTGTTGTGCTTTTCTGAAATGTAATGATATTTTATTAGAAATGAATCCAGTATTCCAGTTGGTGGATAAGGTGGACTCCATCTCAGTGATAAACTTGTTTCAGATAAGCTATATACTTCTGCAAATGGAATTTGATTTGGAACTAGAATTAATATTAAATTAAAAGTTGTAGTTTGTTTAATGCAATTAAAACAGACATACCACTGGATTGTGTCCTCACAAATGAAGATAATAACTTATTATCATAATAACATGTATCTGTTTGATTACGATGTATGCATACTTCTAATTTATAATTAGTATATGGAAGTAAACTGTCAAGTGTAATTAAGTCATTATATTGCATGTGTTTAGTCCTATTCATCTCTTCTCCTTCACACCATTTACTCTTGCAAATTGCGTATGCATTCAGATAAATAGGACCATTCCAATTTTCACAATCAACATCTAAACTAATTTGTATCGAAATGTCTAAAGTGGTAATTTTCGGATTAAACGTGTTTAAATTAACTGTTTCAGTTGCATCTATGTATCCTAAAATACTGTGAATATCACCTTCACCCTTCTTAGTAACTGCTGAAACTGTTATATTATAAATTGAATATGGTTTAAGATTATCTAATTCAATTGTAGTGGTTGTCACATTTTTAGAGTGGATATTTAAATTTTTTTGTGTCAATTACACAATCGCGTTTATCAAGCAACTAAAATATTCAGATCATTTCATATTTCATAAGTATTTGAATTTATTTCCATTTTACCATCCATGTGACGACATAATTGGTGATGATTCCCAAAACAGGTATTGGTGCTGTCCAGACAACAGTTAATTTTGTAGGTGATGAAGAATTTGCTGTTAAATTTCTAACTGTTTTAAGAACTGAAATATTAAAATGATAAAATATATGCAAGACCATTATAAAGATGATTAAATTACCTGATTCATCTGTGGTAAACACAATATCATGTATTATTGTCTTGTTTCTGGTCAATTGAAGCGTATAATTAGTAAATACCTTCAATGATGATATGGTGTTACTAAGTTCGAATTGTTTAGAGTACTGTACTGTATTGTTAGCTTCATCAAGAATTAATATGTAATACTCATCTAAGAGACAATTTGTGTTGGAATTGTAAGATGTCACATTTATTGTCGTACTCTTGTGGATACTATGAATTTGAATTTGATCTTTGTGTAATTCTAAAAGAAGCATTACAGTAATGTGTATATTAATATAATATAAAGTACCTTCACATGTTGTTTCAAATTCAAATGTTGTCAAATCATTAATATAACACTCAGATCTTGTATCAGACGAACACAAAACTATCTGATAGTTATAATTACTTTCTTTAGTCAAATTAGTAAAATTAATAACATTGACTTTAATTGGTGTTAATTCTCCTTCTGTGACAGTTCCATTTGGTTGAAATAAACGAGTGTAATAATATTTTGGTTCGCGTGCACCATCATATTTTACTCCTTTATCGTAAATTGTAATTGTGCAATTTGTGATACAATCAGTGTGAGTGGATGCAATACCAGTTAACACCAGCAGATTTGTTTCGTTGCAGAAAGGTCCAATATATTTTAAATCATTACAACCAAAGTAACATTCACCATTTACAGGATTGCAAAAGTTTGAATTACAATTTGCACATTCAGATGCACAATTGCAACCATATTTTCCTCTTCCACAATCTGAAACAAAACAAAAACATTATATTTTTGTAATTTCAATTCCGTTTCTTAAATGTATTCATTACTTTCTTCACAATATTTTCCAGTGTGCCCTGGTGAACAGTAACATAATTCCTCATTACACGTTATTCTGTATGGACATTCTGTAGTGTTGTAGAATTCAGAACATATATTACATTGATTCTGATTATCACTCGTGAAAACATCAGTACTCTGGTATGGCAATGAAATTTTAAATTGAGTTGTTTTGTGTCGAAGAGAAGAACATTTAATATTATTTGCTGAATCAAAGTTGTATTCTAATGATGAAAAATGGAAATTGTTCGTTTTGTTTCCATTGCAGTCTAAATGATTAACATTGTTTCGAATTGCTATCTTATCATTAGGATTAAACGAAATGCGTAAATAATATTCAGCATCTTCATACACGTCTGAATCAAATGTTTTATAATTCCATTGTGTGTTCGGATCACTCTTATAGTATTCCGTTTTGATGAGCTCATGCGACACATCATAGAGTTGTAATGTTATGTCTTCAGTGAACTTTGCAAAAAACGAAATACACAAGTGGCTAGAATCCATAAAAAACCAATTACTATTAATAAAATTAAAGAATGGTTTACGAGCTTCATAATATGAATCTGTAATGAGATATATTAATTGAGTATTGTGCAAAAATCCTGCCAAATTTGAAAATATATTATTAATATTTACCCGGCGGCGAAAGTTTTAAATGGAAATAACACAAAAAAGCTACCAAACAGAAGACGGAAATGGAACAGTGCCTTATTAGATGAAGAAAAATGGTAGTAGAATGCAAGTTCAACATTTAAAAAAGAAGATGGAAAGAAGAAGAATTGTTAGAATTGTAATTCCCTTACATTCATGATATTTCCACAGTGCACTTTCGGTATTTGAATGTATGAATAATTTTGTAAAATTGTTAAATTCATTTTCATTTTCTGCCTGATATGATAATAATCGTTCATCATTGATTATTATTTCTAACTGTTGATTTACATATCGAATAGAAATTTGACTCCATGCATCAATAGAAAATAATGGTTTATGATCAATCTGAAAGTTGGATATTTAAACCTGCTCAATAAATATTATTGATGCATACCTTATTAACAACATTTTCGCATCCTTTCAGCCTATTTTCGGAGTTTATAGGTGATGCTCCTTCCTTACACCGTCTGATAACACTTCCTTCTCCATTCCACCCACCGACAATAAAAATAATGCATTCTCCCCTTTTTATTAGGTGATTTGAGCATAAATAAATTTGTGCGCTCGATTTTCCCAAAAACGAAAAATTGATCTCAAAATGATTTCTGATATTAATGTCGGCTAATTTTTCAAATTTATAATTTTGTGTAAGTAGCGCCGATTTAGTCATAACAATTGGGAAAACTGAAAGGAATGAATTATTTATGTGTTATGAAATATATTAAGTTAAAATATTACTTTCCCATGTATAATCCATTACTGGACCAAACGTTGCATTGAATGCTACTTCTTCGTCCCACCCATAATTTCTCCAAATGAATTCAATATATAGTGAAGACTCATTACCTATGAAATAAAATAATAATTGTTACAATTATTTTTAGCCTGAACTATTGATGAATACCGGTGACTGGTTTAATAAATTCGGCGGGAGTAAGAGTAATCCACGTGATTGCGTCGTTGTAATCATCACTGACACACGTTGCACGAACTTTGGCATTTTTTCCCGTTTCTGTAATATTTGCAAATAATAATTGGGTCTTTCCTTGCACCTTACAGGAAAGTAGTGCTATGAACAAGAGTACTCGTAATATGCACGATCGCATTTTGAAGACTCAATTCTGTTAGTTTGTTATGCGGCAAATGTGTTATCTTGCATTTAACGTTCGAATCATTACGAAGACAAACTAAGCAAATATTAACACAATATACATATGAACACTATTGTCAGTGTTCTCTCGCTCCGGAACCCTCCAAATTGAATTTACATACCGCACACCTATATAAATATAAAACTATTGATAAGATTAGGTCCAACCGTACATCTGTACATCTGTTTGTAATTACATCATGTACGAGTAGGTACGTCCAAAGAAGGAGGGGCCTTGCGCCAGGTAGGAATACTCGAACATGAAGGCGTTCCAACGTTGCATCTTCAAGAATGCAGGACGATCTCCCCTAGCACAAACCTAAAGCAAATCCAATTAGAACACAAAAAGAAACTTGTTTATAATATCTTCTCACCTGTATTTGACTCTGCTGAAGTTGAATCAGCAATCAGAATTTAGAATTTGTTATCACATCCAAAGTTATCAACAGGAATACATAGATTCTCGTTGAGAAGAAGACTTTACCTTTGGGGGTCAGGGCTCGATGTGTATACCCATCAAGGAATGGGCTACTGCCTCCGGGGGTATGAACAGCCACAAAGATGCTGAGGTAAGAATTATAACAATTAAATTTTGCTTTTAAAAATTTTAATTTATTTATTTTCTTATTCATACAAGCTGCATTACAACGAGGTTTTACTAAAGAGGAACATGAGGCATCAACAATTATCCAATCACAAAGCACATTAATTATTATGAATTTTTTAATTGTTTTGTGTTTTTTGTTTTAGTTCTGTCAAAAGAATTTGAATGTGAAGAAGATGAAACATTGTAATGGAAGATGTCATATTCAAAGGAGAACAAAAACTGGATAAACAAATGTCAGAATGAGATATCGCAAGGTTGTGTTTCACGTGTTCACAAGCAGTTCGTAGTGTAGTGTAGTGTAGTCATACCAAGCACGTAGTCGTAGTCGTAGTTATAGTTGTAGTCATAGACTAGAAGTAATTTAGTAGACTGTGAAGTGAACACTGAAATGCAATCGTGGCAATTGTATCTGACTTTGTTTATTCAGAGATGTGAAGATGCAGATCGACATTAATTGTTCCTGAACAACCTGTAAGTTAAGTTTATTTATACAATTTTCACATCTTTTAAAATATTCTTATATAAAATTAGAAATGGATATTGATAAACAATACTTCATAAAACCGTTACATGTCAGTGATATCCATTTCTAATGTTACATAAATCAAGTCATCTCGTTATAAGCCAATTATTTATTTCAATTAAAATATATTTACTATTTTGGGAAGAATCACTAAATCTTTGCCAATGTCGAGGCCAACCAAGTGGCACACGAGACATGGGCTAGCAACATTTCGTAGTGATATCGATAATTGAATAATAAAAAACTTTAGTAATTAGTTTGTTAATTAGCAGCAAAAATTGCATTTTTGTGGTTTGAAACACTATTTTTGGCTTGTTTTACGGGTTTTGCACATGAACCTGACATCGTAGAAGAACCATTCTCTCTTCAAAATGTAGGTATTGAATTTCTTTATCATTTTCATAAATAACTTTAGTAATTAGTTTGTTAATTAGCAGCAAAAATTGCATTTTTGTGGTTTGAAACACTAATTTTGGCTTGTTTTAGGGGTTTTGCACATGAACCTGACATCGTAGAAGAACCATTCTCTCTTCAAAATGTAGGTATTGAATTTTTTTATCATTTTCATAAATAACTTTAGTAATTAGTTTGTTAATTAGCAGCAAAAATTGCATTTTTGTGGGTTGAAACACTAATTTTGGCTTGTTTTAGGGGTTTTGCACATGAACCTGACATCGTAGAAGACCGATTCTTTCTTCAGAATGTAGGTATTGAATTTCCTTATCATTTTCATAAATAACTTTAGTAATTAGTTTGTTAATTAGCAGCAAAAATTGCATTTTTGTGTTTCGAAACACTAATTTTGGCTTGTTTTAGGGGTTTTGCACATGAACCTGACATCGTAGAAGACCGATTCTTTCTTCAGAATGTAGGTATTGAATTTCCTTATCATTTTCATAAATAACTTTAGTAATTAGTTTGTTAATTAGCAGCAAAAATTGCATTTTTGTGTTTCGAAACACTAATTTCGGCTTGTTTTAGGAGTTTTGCACATGAACCTGACATCGTAGAAGAACCATTTTCGCTTCAGAATGTCGGTATTGAATTTCTTTATCATTTTCATTAATAACTTTGGAGATTAACTTGTTAATTAGCCCCAAAAATTGCATTTTTGTGGTACGAAACACTAATTTTGGCTTGTTTTAGAGCTTTTGCACATGAACCTGACTTAGTAGGAGAACCATTCTTTCATCAGGTTGAAGGTATTGAATTTTTTTATCATTTTCATTAATAACTTTGATGATTAACTTGTTAATTAACTCCAAAAATTGCATTTTTGTGGTTTGAAACACTAATTTTGGCTTGTATTAAGGGTTTTGCACATGAACCTGACATCGTAGAAGACCCATTCTTTCTTCAGAATGTAGGTTTTGAATTTCCTTATCATTTTCATAAATAACTTTAGTAATTAGTTTGTTAATTAGCAGCAAAAATTGCATTTTTGTGTTTCGAAACACTAATTTCGGCTTGTTTTAGGGGTTTTGCACATGAACCTGACATCGTAGAAGACCCATTCTTTCTTCAGAATGTAGGTATTGAATTTCCTTATCATTTTCATAAATAACTTTAGTAATTAGTTTGTTAATTAGCAGCAAAAATTGCATTTTTGTGTTTCGAAACACTAATTTCGGCTTGTTTTAGGAGTTTTGCACATGAACCTGACATCGTAGAAGAACCATTTTCGCTTCAGAATGTCGGTATTGAATTTCTTTATCATTTTCATTAATAACTTTGGAGATTAACTTGTTAATTAGCCCCAAAAATTGCATTTTTGTGGTACGAAACACTAATTTCGGCTTGTTTTAGAGCTTTTGCACATGAACCTGACATAGTAGGAGAACCATTCTTTCATCAGATTGAAGGTATTGAATTTTTTTATCATTTTCATTAATAACTTTGATGATTAACTTGTTAATTAACTCCAAAAATTGCATTTTTGTGGTTCGAAACAGTAATTTTGGCTTGTTTTAGAGCTTTTGCACATAAACCTGACATCGTAGGAGAACCATTCTCTCTTCAAAATGTAGGTATTGAATTTCTTTATCATTTTCATAAATAACTTTAGTAATTAGTTTGTTAATTAGCAGCAAAAATTGCATTTTTGTGGTTTGAAACACTAATTTTGGCTTCTTTTAGGGGTTTTGCACATGAACATGACATCGTAGAAGAACTATTCTCTCTGCAAAATATAGGTATTGAATTTCTTTATCATTTTCATAAATAACTTTAGTAATTAGTTTGTTAATAAGCCGCAAAAATTGCATTTTTGTGGTTTGAAACACTAATTTTGGCTTGTTTTAGAGCTTTTGCACATGAACCTGACATCGTAGGGGAACCATTCTTTCATCAGATTGAAGGTATTGAATTTCTTTATCATTTTCATTAATAACTTTGATGATTAGCTTGTTAATTAACCCCAAAAATTGCATTTTTGTGGTTCGAAACAGTAATTTTGGCTTGTTTTAGGGCTTTTGCACATAAACCTGACATCGTAGGAGAACCATTCTCTCTTCAAAATGTAGGTATTGAAATTCTTTATCATTTTCATAAATAACTTTAGTAATTAGTTTGTTAATTAGCAGCAAAAATTGCATTTTTGTGTTTCGAAACACTAATTTTGGCTTGTTTTAAGGGTTTTGCACATGAACCTGACATCGTAGAAGAACTATTTTCTCTTCAGAATGTAGGTATTGAATTGAGTGTAAACAAGTTTTTAGTGACCTCGTGCAGTTGCTGTCGGCTGTGTGCAACTCAAGGCATACGCATTTCCTTTTTGGTTGTCGAGTGAATCGCGCGTTTACATTGCGACTACTTTTTGTTCTTCAAATCATAATTAGATAAATTGCGGAATGTTCAATTAACAATGAATGTGGTTTTGCTTGTGAGAAAGCATGCGATAAATGTTCATCAATCGCGGAGTTATCGGTGGTTCACCTATGCGCGTGTGATGTTCCGCCGGCCGTCGGTGATTGTTTTTTGCATGTGGAATTATATTACACTCGTGTTAACCTATGTGTAAATAACCTGCGTGTCCACACAGACTTAATAATAACTTGGATTTATGTAACAACGTTGGTTCCTGTTGAAGAAGTTTAGGAGCACTTGCGTCAAGAGATGCGCATATTACAAGGCAAGTTTTACTTTCAGGAGATTTAAGAGCTGCCTATGATTTTCGATTTAAAAAAAAATGTATGTAGTTTTTAATGTTGCTAATAAAACATAGTATTATATACTTCTTAATATTTCTTCCTGGTTTCCCCTTTGCCGTTTGCAGGATAGATGTCTTGAATCATATTCCATATAAATCTTAAGTGCGTCGAGCGTGTACAATATATAGCTATTGTTGGTGTGGTGTTGTTGTTTTTAAAAAGTTGAATAAAGTAGAATCATAAATAGAAGAATCAAATATAAATGATAAAAACACTCGGTGGTCAAGTGGAGACGTGCACCTGTTGGCATGCTAGCAGACACGGATCGAATCTCAGGTATGGAAGGCATTTTTCTCAAATATAAAAATATCAGGTGTAATTTGGGTTGCATATATGAATTGCAATGAAATATAAGAGAAATTGAAATACAAGTGAAGGCAATACGAGAAATAAAAAAGCAAGTAAGTGGAGAAACGGAGAACAGAGATACAGGAGAAGTAGAAGAAAGGAATAGCAGAGGAGAGTAGAAAACAGAAGGAAGAGAACAGAGTAGAGAAGAGGAGGAGGAGGAGGAGATAGAGAAGAAAAAGCAACAGGAAAGGATCAGATTTTTAATTTTTTTGGCACGTGTCGTTATAAGACAGTCTACGGTGGATCTCCCAGAGCGCCGGAGGCGATCGCCTACTGCTTCGATGCGTCCATTGCTCCCGGCCCATCCTACAGCTACGATGTCTCTACGCTTCATCCCCGAAATTCTCAGGCATATCAACAATTTTTATGGTGGGGAATCACCCCAGGAGAGAGGGAACTCCTTATAAGAACAATCCTTATAAGATCTTGTTAAATTATTTGTAAGTTTTAAGTCGTCTCAAGAGAGGTGAACTTAAAAATATTCTTACACGATCTGACCTGCAGCTGAAATGAAAGATGGAGCACACAAATCACACAGGATACCTTAACAATTTTAATAGTGGGGATCATCCCCTGAGAGAGGGAACTCCTTATAAAAACAATCCTTATGAGGACTTGTTTAAATATTTCTAAGTATTAAGTCGTCTCAAGACAGGCGACACTTAAAAATATTCTTACAAGTTCTAACCTGTTCCTGAAATGATAGAAAGGAGGGGTGCACAAGTCATAAGACATTACCATTGCCTTTAACATTACTTTATTAACAAATTACATACAATACAAGTTCAGAACTTGCAAATTCAATACCTACAAAACACATGACGTCATTTTAAAACATGTTTATGACCTGCATAGCCGCGCTATGCTAACTGCTACCATATTACAAAATATAACACTAGAAAATAGCAAATTGCGCCCTGTTTTCGCGTGACATCATTTGAAAATTATATACAGGGTGTTACCAAAAGAAAATCTACAATGTAAAAAGAAAATGGCTCCAAAACGATAAAAATTGCCAATTTTTGGATGGGCATAAAGGAAAAATTACATACAGGGTGTTGTCAAAAAAAATCTTTTATTTAAAAGAAAATCTTCCATTTAAAAAGAAAATCACCCCAAAACAATAAAGATAAAGCTAATTTTTCACTGAGTAATAAGAAAATTTATAAACAGGGTGATACCAATAGAAAATCAAAAGTGCTTGCTTTATTACCTGTTTCCTACGGTTTATCTAGAAGAGGTGCCTAGATAAAAACATAATAAATAATTTAATTACTAATAATTATAATTTTATTAAACATCTTTTAAAGAAATACTAAATTAAGATCTATTAAGCCCACAAACTAGCAAACACGTAAAGTGGATTACAGACAGAATTAAGATACAAAAGCAACAATTAAGCACGAAAAACGGGACCTTGTGGGAATGAATACTGCTCTCCAGCCGACGAAACGCGACAATATTGCAACACTTGGATTACAACGACCATGTGACAACTATTACTACTTATTTTCAGAGAGTTTACTTATTTCACTGATCGCTTTTTTACATCAGGTTTTAAATCTACATTTGACTGTTTAATTTGTCGAATATTAATAGAATATAGTATTTATGTTACCCACTTTCTTACGTTTTCCCAGGTAAAATATTCCACACGGGTCACGAAAGATCTTGATTTAAATTAAGAATTAAATGAATACGCACAACAAAACCACTAAGATTTTTTAGGCGACGGAAGATATCCGACAGTCGACGGCAAACACGTGCTTGTAAATCAATGCAAATCTGCGTTCCACGCGGAATAACTCATTAACTATACGCGACACTTGTCTGTTAATTCTAAATCTGATCTTTGCTGATCGATTTTAATTCAACTACCGACTTAAAATCACAAGAAACGGAATAAGTCATTACAAAGAACGCCGCGCAAGTAAACGTGGGTACACCACGCCGCAGCACACGATCGACTAACTCAGAACTGGAACCAACACCACTGAGCAAGCACATCGGGCGCGCTGCAACGTGATAAAAACAAGTTGTTTGTACACAATCACCGATTTAGTGATGGAGTCAAGAGTGAGAACGATGAACAATTTAAGTTGTTGATACTGTCTAATGCAATACTCTCTTATTCGTATAAATAATGTATTCTAAAATTAAATTCAGTCTCAATTAAAAAAACAGCTTAGAAGATAATGGCAATAGACAAATACTTCACGCAGTTAACATATATTTTCTATTTCCACGATACGGAATTTTCTCGCAATAAATTCAAATACAGGGTGATACAGAATTAAATTCCGCATCTGGGAAAATTATTCAGAACTTATTATGACACCGCGTTCGCATGCTATACTAAGAAAACTACAATTCCTAGCGCAACGAGTACTACGACGCATACACACAACTATCAATATAACTCGCGTTACGGAATTTTGCCGCAATAAATTCAAATACAGGGTGATACAGAATTAAATTCCGCATCTGGTAAAATTATTCTGAACTTATTATGACACCGCGTTCGCATGCTATACTAAGAAAACTACAATTCCTAGCGCAACGAGTACTACGACGAATATACACAACTATCAATATAACTCGCGTTACAGAATTTTGTCGGCATAAATTTAGGTACAGAGAGATACAGAATTAAATTCTGCATCTGGAAAAATTTTTCCGAACTTATTGGGACATCGCGTTCGCGTGTTTTCTTATGCCAGATTTTGCATTAAATTTTTTAAAAATATTAATTTATTAAAGTTCTACGTGATTTCTTCTGGATTTACATATTATATATTGAGTTTGACATGTTTCGCCCTGAGGGCATCCTCATAAACTGTTTATGAACTTTAATAAATAAATATTTTTAAACTTTACAATGGATGAATACGTACATCAATGAAACTAATAAAATTTTACATTAAATATTTACGTGATATTTAATTTGAACATGCAACGATTCTCGTTTACCAAGTAACACATTAGTCCGTAATCATCTGCTGATAATAAAAATGTATTAGAATTAATATAAATTTGTTAGTAATTTTCATGAAAAAATTGGATAATTATTATTAATTGAATATATTATTTGCTTAAATTTACGATGTTAATATAATAAACAGCAACGGTGTGTTCTGATTCCACGAAATAAAGATTCGATACCTGCAGGTGCCTGCCGGTAAACAAACTTATCTCTTGAGCAAAATCGCGTGATCCACACGGACACGGTGTGCACTCACTACCACCAGCCAGCAATATTTAATGCAAAATCGTACCTCGTAGCGCCATCTAACCTTTGAAAATATTTATCAACTTAAAAATATTCAAAACACATTTATCTAATATGCAACAAGGTTGATATTGCAATGAAATTTAAAAAAATGGAAGTCATGAACAAAACAAACAAGTATTTAATAAATGATTCATTTATGTTTTTTGTACAATTAACAATAAATGCAAACGTTTACGCGTTCGGGTGTTATATCAAAAAAACTACAATTCCTAGTGCAACGAGTATTACGGCGCACACACACAACTTTCAATATAACTCGTGTTACGCACGGCTGCCCTTGTACGGTACCCTGAATACAAGTCATTTCTACCGCTACCCTCATACGGTGTCCAGAACACGGGTCACTTCGACCGGTACCCTCATACGGGACCCAGAACACGAGTCACTTCTACCCCTGCGCTTGTAAGGTGCCCTGAATACAAGTCACTTCTACCGCTGCTCTTGTACGGTGCCCTGAAAACGAGTAATTTCCACCGCTACCCTCATACGATGCCCTGAACACGAGTCACATCTACCGCTACCCTCATACGGTTTTATTCTCCATAAAATAAGCTAATTAAATGGGATATTTAAGAGATGAAATTTTAATTCATAAGAAAAAATTGGCAAGAGAAGGTGTTTGATAATTTAGTTCCACGATTTTCGACAGTATATATCTTCTAAACTAAACGAGATAGCAACTAGAAAAACGTTAATATAATACATTGAAAAAATATTCAGAATCAAGTGGCTTGTGGCAAGCTACAAAGCATGGCACAAAAAGGAGACGAAGATAATAGGAAACACTGTATATTTGTGTTCTCTTATTCTCTTGCAGACTAAACCATATAAACAAATACGTTTGTTTCTTTTTAGTGTCGTTTAATTAATTTTGAAATCACGATTCGAAAAAAATTACACTTCAAAAATTGAAAAATAGTGAATTTTTCCAAACGGTTTTCTGGCGCTTCTAGCATAATTTCAGGGGGCGGCAATAGCGTATCCGTAAGATTAACTCTCTAACTATCAGAATCCGTGCAAATATTGCAAATAGTTCCCGAGATATGAGCCAATTTCCACGATGAAACAATAAAAAAATTGAAAAATAGTGAATATTGCCGAGCGATTTTCAGGCACTTCCCGCATGATTTCTGGGGCCGGTAATAGCGTATCCGTAAGATTAACTCCCTAGCTATCAGAATCCGAAGAGAACGTGCAAATATTGCGAATAGTTCCTGAGATATGAGCCAATTTCCACGATGAAACATTAAAAAAAATTGAAAAATAGTGAAAATTGCCGAGCGATTTTCAGGCACTTCTCGAATGATTTCTGGGGCCGGCAACAGCGTATCCGTAAGATTAACTCACTAGCTATCAGAATCCGAAGAGAACGTGCAAATA